AACTGCAAATCCCAGTAAAGTTTCAGGGTGAGAATTAAAAAAAAAAAAAAAAAAAAAAAAAAAAAAAAAAAAAAAAAAAACTTTGTTAATCATACAAAAAAAAGAAGAAAATGTTTAATAGGGCAAAACTTTGCTTTTTCTGTAGTGGTGCTTTTGTATCAATTAAATTGATAATTTAAAAAAATACATTAGGCAAATTCAAAGTTACTCATGTATCATACAGTTGGAAAGGACCTCTGGATATTTTTGGTGTTACTTTTCATATGACTAATGAGAAATGTGTAGTTAAAATATTTTTTAGAAGTTTTTTTTCCCAAATATTTTATAATCAACTTTGAATTATTTCTGTATTTGGTAAACTACCTTGAATTCTGCTTCTGGAAGAAATTATTATTATCTTAATGGGGAAGATGTCTGTATAATATGAATGTAGAGATAAGTATGCGGCCTCAGAAGAAGGTACCTTTCTGTCAGGAAACATGGGACAGAAGGATTACTTTGAGGTTTTTTTTGTTTTTGTTTTTTTCCCTAATTGTAATTATTCCTTCAATCTTATAGAACGTCTGAAATGCACTCAAAAATCTCAAATGCAGTTATGTTCCTCCCATATTTCATATATAATGTTATTTAAAGATGTTTGATGTTGCAAATCCTATTATGAAGATGTATGTGCATCTAGTCATCAGCATATCTCTCTCATGAAGAGAAAAAGAATTGTTAAAAGAATATAGCGATAATAGAGGGGAGGTAGGGAGGCACAATGTGTAAGGTTATTTTTAAAGCCTTCATGCTGTTTTACGGCTAGTAAAGAAGGAATTGTTTCATTGTGACTGCCAGGTTGTGGGCTGGTAACCTTGAAGATAAATCTGACACAATTTTCCTCTGCAACTTGGCAGCAGAGCCCCTGATTTCATGTCAGGGTCATGTAAACATTAAAAATTTGCTACACGTGGATCTGGTTTCACTGCTGTTATTGCAGCTATTTAGTTGCTGCATATGAAGTCTGTGAAGCACAGGCATTTATTTGTGATGTTGCATTTCTGCTTCGTCATCTAAAACATGCACTAATTATTATTATTACCTTTCTTACTTTCTTTTGACAGGTCAGTTCCACTTAGCATGTTAAGAACTGTCATTAAGTCACTAGTTTCTTTTTTCCTCCTCTACCTGATCCCCGTTCTGTTCATCGTGCGCTTCCTACAGCCGTCAGCAACGCTCCGGTCCCAGGTACTCCGAGCTTCGTAGGATCCCCAGGTGCACAGAAGTGCTTAGCTCAGCTCTTCGACGACTCCTTGTACAATATATTTACCATAAGCATCTAAGTAATGATAGGAGGTCTGCCACTCAGAATATTTCACTGACTGCATTCGCCTCTTGGCGCTGGTTGGGTTGGGGCTTCTACACTCAAATTGATGCTTTTTGAAGTCTGTTGCATCTGTAAATCCCGACTTGTGGCATCAACGAATTAATTATTCAATGACCAAGTGCCATCAAAGGCAGGTGATTGTGCTCTCTCATGACTGATTTACTGTATAATATACATATTATTTTATATTTTTAGGGGATGAAAATGTGCTGCTATATGGTTTGATTTTACTGCTTACATTTTCGGAAGTAAATTTCCCCAAAGAACCATTTGTAATATCCTGGTAAAATCTTTGAACTGTATAAAATAACCTCTATTGCAGTACCTGGTAAAGATCAAATGGGATGCAGAGAAATCTGTTAGTATAGATCTAGGTTTTGAAGTTTGGTAGTTACATGAATATATGTGTGTGACCTGTCTTACAACTGAGATCTGAGCTGCGTGTGGTTCTCCCTTGGATGGTGAGTTTTCCTGGAATGTGACGGCTGGCCACGTGTTTGTAGGCATTGCCCTCGATGACATTTTGGAAGCTTTCGGAATGCTGCAGAAGTCTTGCCCCTGGAAAGCTGGCAAATACCGCCCCCCCTCCCATTCCCGCATGCCTTGGGCAAGCCTGGATCTGCTCGCCCTGGAATTCAGGTGCACGATTGAACAGCAGGAGACCCTACCTTGAAAAGAATATGTGTGGAGGGTCCAAAAGGAGGGGAGAGTTAGACACCCAGCACTGTCCTTTGCAGAGCAGGCTTAGAAGTACACGTGTTAACAAACGAGGAGCATATTGCAAGGGGAAAGAATGTATTTATTGCTTGCCTGTCATAAGGCTACGATACACAAGTTGTATTAAGGTTAGTATAGGTGTGCACGCCGGGTGAGTGATGAACCCCCCGCGTCCCGAGCCGCCCGCATCCCGAGCCGCCCTCCCGGCAGCCGCTGTCCCAGACGAGCGCGCGTTTCAGCAAGGTGACAGCCCCCATAGCCCTCCAGCCGCCTCTGGCACCTCCTGGCTCCTGTTTAACTGGAGATTCTTCTCCTTAGGTCTAAACCTAACTAGACATAAAAGTATCTAATGTTTTGATTGAAATTTTTTGATAGATTGTGAATTGACTTTAGATTTTTTTTTTACTGAAATTATTTAAGAGCTCTCAGTTGTCAGGTTATTAGAATTAATTTAACATTTGCTTTTATTGTTGCACTACTTCGAGGAGCATTTTGCTAGAAATATTTAACAAAGTTGCAAATTTGCATGTATTTATTTTGTATCTTTTGAAGTTTTATATTTTTCTTTATGTGCATGTGCACTGCCAGAAAAATGAACTGTGAACTTGCCATATGCAATCTTTAAACAAATTGCTAATTCAGAACTACTCTGTACTGTCTTAGCAGCTCTTCATGGCTGAAGTCTATTATGAACTAAATCATTATCCTCTTGTTCTGGTTCCAAAGCCGTTCTCTTAAGGAACACCAAACTGCTGCTGTCAAAGATTTATATTGTTTTCTTGTAAAATGAAAATACAAGGCTATGAACTTCTGTTAGCTGAATTCAGAGTATATTATAGAATTGCATTTTAAATGCAGCATTATCTTAAAAAAAAATTGAGTTCCCCATGTCACCATCATTAGTATCTGACAGTTCAGCTGGGCTCCGGGAAGAAGTTACCTTAGACATTTCTTAGACATTTCTTAGTTGTGCTCGTGCTGATCAGCCAGTCAGTTCATGTAGCCAAAACAATCTAAGTTTCTCCAAGGTAACTTTGAGACCAGGGGTGTGGGAGAACTGCCTAGGCCTGATCTGTGGAAAAGATCTAAAACGCTGAATTTTTCAAAGAAACACAGAAGATGTTTACTAGATTGGAAATAATTAACTGTCAAAGCACTTTTTTTAAAATAAGCCTATTTTAACTAGGCAAGTTCATATTGCATAATGTATATTCAACTTTTCTACCATTTTTAAGTCTTCTACATATTATATGTGGAAATGTAAGCCACACATCTGCTCTGCAGAGGTCAACCTGTCTCGCTATTTTCCACTACTTGATGCTATCTTGATTTTTCTTTCTTCTCTCTCTGAATGTTGTCTTATATTTATTCTAGACTTAATTTTAAAATTGTGATTTATGTAGTGTAAAATAAATTACATGCTTTGGGCAAATTTTGTTGGAAACATTATTCATGAATCTTACTTAAGAAGAAACTAAAATGTATATTATTCTTTTTGTTAATAGTTAACAAATATTTCCTGATCACTTGAACTTCTTTCATTGAATTAGTTCAAATACATTGTGTTTGTCCTTGAATTCATATTTCACTGACTTTCCTTAAGGCAGTTTTTTTTATTTATTTAAACCTGGAAAGATGTTGGCTGACGTTCTTTTAAGTTTGTACTTAACAAGGGTGAGAGTGGATTATCCAGAATATATTTTAAAAATCTATCATAACCTTTACTAAAGTAATTTCTCCTACAAAGCCTTTAAGTAATTGTTAAGCTTCATTTTATAACGCTGAATGAATTAAGATTCACATTTGTCCCTAAAAAAATAAAATGAAAGGATAAGTAAGGCTTGGAAATAAATGGTTAGGTGTTTACTTTTAGCTTTATATTATTTAGTAAAATGGGAAGTTAAACCATGTGGTTGTGCAGGTCCCAAATAAACAGGCCTAAACAAATTGCCATTATTGGAGGAGACTGAGGTATAGAGGAGAAAACCTTGTGAAAATGTAGTAGGTATCAATTGGAAGTTAAAGGGAATGGAAAAAAAAATAATAGGATAATCCTTATCTCCCCTTGTTTTGATGTTCACCTTTAACGCAAGTGAATTGAGTGCACTGGACTGCTGTAGAGGACGAACACCACTCCACCGCTTGTGTCTTGCCCTCACCGTCTTGTCAGTTTGAACCACTTTCCTTGTGGGAGAAATCCGGGGCTTGAAGCATTCTGTAGAATTGTACATGTCTAGTTTGTAAAGTGTGTAACGTGTACTGCAGATGTGTATTCTCTGGGCTCTATGTATCTTTACAGTAGTGTTCATTTTAGGGGAAAAAATAAATCGTGGACACGTTTTGGCGATAACAAGGGGAAATTTTTTTGCCATTGCATCAAATGATGCTGAAATGTATTAAACTTACTAGCAGATCTGAACCCTTCTTCCCCCATCCCTGGGAGATAAGTCTTTTATCTTCATTCCAAACCTCCATCGGAGATGGATGGATACACTGGCAGACTGCATGATGTATCATTTGGAAACTGTTACAGTGGAAAATAAAAATGAATTAAACTTTTCTGTGCACAAGTTTTGTGACTATGAGGCATGCAAGAGAAGGGTTAGGGGCTGGGGAAGGGATACCAGCCTCTGCCCTAAACATACAGGAAAGTAACCAGAAACCCTGGAAAATGAGAGGTGGGGGCTGCTTTGTGCCTAGTGCTTGTGCTGTCTTTACTGCCTCTTCTTGGAAATCTTCCATCTTCCTCATTCTTCCTATTTGAGTAGCCTGGAGGAGGACAGGGACATTCCTCCTCTCAACAGGAACTCAGGTGCTCCCGTTGATTAACCTAGTATTTCTGATAGGATCGATCACGGTAGGAGCGGGCAGGGGCCTTTGTTCAAATCTGAGCAGATCATGGGGTAACAGCCAGTTAGAGAGCGGAGTCTTCTGCTCTCTTGACTTCCAGCGCACAGGAGGTGCCTGTGGACGAGCCCGTGTTTGGATGAGCCCCTGTGTGTGGACGAGCCCCTGCCGCCTCCAGGCAGCCGCGAGGAGGAGAGCAGGGCCCGGGTTGTGCTCCAGAGCTTTGCCGTGAGTCCAAGGCGCCCGTTCCTGCTGCCCTCGATAAAGACTCTGCCTGCAGGATGAACCCAGTTGCGGAGGAGCCTCCCAAGAGGCTCCTGACGATTTCGTTTGCAGGATGTGGGATTGCATCACTTAATTAACTCCCTATCAAAACACCACACTAGTGAACCTATTTCAAAACAGCTTACACAAAAGCACAGAGAGAAAAAAAAAGAACCCCCACACAGGAAAGGTTAGGGGCTCGCATCCCTAGTACACCAGGGAAGCTATAAAGCACGAAATACATTTTGTGGTGCTATAAAGGATGAAATACATGTTCTGGTAAAGCTCAGGGGAGAGTCTGTTCGTTCTGAGCTCCGGTCTCTCGGGCCCCACGCAGTGTGGGTCGGCGGTGCCGGCTGCCCCCCGGCGCGGTGCCGAGGCGCGCCCGCCCCGCTCGCCCGCCGCTCGCCGCA